TGTGTGTGTGTGTGTGTGTGTGTGTGTGTGTGTGTGTGTGTGTGTGTGTGTGTGTGTGTGTGTGTGTGTGTGTGTGTGTGTGTGTGTGTGTGTGTGTGTGTGTGTGTGTGTGGATATGTGTGTGTGGATATGTGTGTGTATGCATGTGATGAAAAGGGAAGGGAAACATGATATTGAATTTTTATTTTTTTTAGAGCGTAGAAAATAACATTATATAATATATATATTCTATATTCTAGTTTAAGATAATGTGTTTGGGGAAGTGAGATAGTGTTTGCCATACATTGATTTATTTGTGGCGGGTCGCCACAATTAAATATCGTCCGCCACAAATGGATCTCATAAAAAAAAAATATATATATTTTTTTTTTTGTTCTTTTTTTTTTTGGTGGTTTTATCTGGATAGCTGATGATCGGAAGGTTGCGATTTCAAATCCCGCCTGGAACACCACTGCTAGTGTGCCCTTGAGTAAGGGACTTAGCCCTCAGTTACTCCAGGGAGAACGTCCCTGTAATTGGTCATTGTAAGTCGCTTTGGAATAAGGTGTCTGCTAAATACCTAAATACCTAAATTGTAAATTATATTTTTGGGAGAATAAACTCCACAGATCCTCAACTCCGGAGTGTCTCACTCATTAACAACACAACACAGAGCAACAAGAACGTTGTCTAGTAGCCATGAACTTGCATGTATTTTCTTATTTGAGGGGGGGTTGGATGCATGGGCCACCCGAATAGGTTAAGAGCCTTTGGCTTTTCTTGCCGGGGGAGGGGGGGGCTGCGGTGCGGTGCCCCCACAAATAGAATCAAATTCTGTGGGAAACACTGGTGAGATACTGTATGTTTATATTCCAAATACATGGGTTAAAGATACATCACTAGTTGTACAGTATATTAGGAAATGTTTTAAAGGGCAAGAAAATCTGGAGCTAGTGTAGAAAAGGTAGTTTATTAATGAGATTTGGTGCTTAAACACTGAGAAATTGTAAGCACAGTTTGGCCGGTGTGGGGGGTGTCTTGGACTTGGCACAAGTACAGCTGTCGGGAAGAAAACATCTTTAGAAAAGAGTAAACACATGCTACAAATACGTTGCACGGAGGAAGAGGATGAGCTGAGGCAGTAACAAACCTAGCAGGGATTATGGATGATGTGAGCGTATGCAGCGAGGAAGAGCTTTGTTGTAGGGAACTGCAGGTCTGATTCTTTTAGGATGCTGTTCATTATTGGAGCAAACGATGATGTGCTGGCTTCACACCCAAAACAAAAAAAAAGGAGAAAAAAGCCAGAGGCTGTCTATGCTCAGACACAGCAACAAATATACTGTCATAAGGTGCAAGGTGACGTGTTTGCTGAAGTTGATGCACTCTACAGCAGAATAAAGAAGTAAACATAGTTCAAACAGCAGGACTTTGATGCCAGAGGCTGGGGTTCAAATCCGAGTTCCACGTTTGATTAGGTCTGGAAAACTAAAACACTTTGTGTAATCGGACAAAGATTGTTAAAAAAGTAAGTATGTGTCTTGCACTTCAATTTAGAAAAACGTGGTTTGAGCAGGATTTTACTTACATGTTGTTGAAAGTTAGAAGTTGGTACACCAAGACAGAATCGCACCAGATTATGCAGAAATTAAATTAGGGGATAATTTCCGAGAAATGAGAAATGCAAGCAAACGTGAACCGAGACCTTAGTATCAACAGAGACAGCAGGGGCCATGGACCTGAAACATTATGTGGTCGGATACTCAGCAGCGTGTTGACTTTGCAGACCTCGCTGTGCCACAGTGAGACGAAGCCAACAGGGCATGGGGAAGGAGTGAAGAGGAGGAGGCTCAACTACTCTGAGCTGGCAGTCGGGGCTGAAAAACAAAGCCGGAAAGCCAAGATACACACTGCAAAGGCTGGGTGCCAGGAATTAGCAGCTACGGTACATCCACAGTGATGATTATCACGTCTTACTATTGTTACAACTGATAGCACACTTCTACTCACTAGCTGCTAGTTGTGCGCTCAGTGATATCCACTCAAAGAGTCCACTTGTAGTCACTCCCAGTACTTTGTAAGTCGGCTTCAGTACAAGTTTTCTCAGTAGGCCTCTTTGACCCAGATCACACCGACTTACAACACCCCCCCCCCCCCCCCTCATATACCAGCGTCTAAAGCAAGTCAAGAATCAGTTGTATCAAAATTACTTTTTCAAGAGGGTCCCTTTGAAGCAGTGTGTTAGGCTACAGACCATGCGTAGCTTCACAGTGATGGCAGCGACAGATGGAGTAAAAACAAGAGAGAGACTTATACTCCTCTCATTGTGTTGTCTTTATCCTTGCATCTTTTGTGCGAACTCTCCATTGTTTGTACAGGCAAAAGTTCTCACATTTGAATCTAGTAGCAGGAGAAAACAATGGCTATGAGAGACAAGGGGAAGACAGTAAAATGAAGAAACGTGAAAAGTGGAAACAGAGGCAGAGAGAATTACAGTGCTCATAGTTAGCGATAGTAGACAAGCCTTGAAATTAAAGGAGCGATGAAATGACAGCGGGGCATGACCGAGAAAATAGGGACATGTCATAAGGATAGAATGATAAAGGAAGAGAGTGGCAGATGAGATTGTGAGGAAAAGGAGTGAAAGAGAAAGGGAATCACAAAAAAAAGATCACAAGAGAAGAATAAGACGGGCGTTTGAATTGAATAGGAACGGGTAATGAGATGCTAATGTAACAACAAAGGAGCGTGTGCCCTCCGGGGGGAGCTGTGCAACAGCAAGCTGCTTCAGTATGAACACATTAGAGGAGGGAATTTAATTTTAAAATGCCCTTTATTAAACTACTGCAATGTACACAGATACATATAGCCAATAAAGTCAAATAAGATTTACATCTCCCACCCCTGGCACTGTTTGAACAAAATAAAAACAATAGATGCTCCCCTGGAGAGATCGATTACGGTGACAAAATGGGACAGAAACGGCAAAAAGCAGAGAAAGTATGATTTGTGCATAACACCTCCTCCACAGGAGGGTCACCCTCTACTGTGTGATATATGAGGTGAGCACGAGGACAAGGTCTATTTGCCCTGAGAGGGAAAGGGTGAGCAAAAGAGAGAGGAGAAACTGAAAGAATAAATGACAGAGACTCATGGAGGAACATGAAGCTGGAGAGGAGAAATAGAGAAAAAGGAGGTCTTTGCGATATCAGACATGCTTTTGAGTGGGAGGAGGAGATGAAGCTTTACAAGTAAAAGGGAAATAATGGAGAGATCCATGGTGCAAAAGATGTAATTACTCAAGGGAATTAATGCAGGAGCGGAGTGATGTGGAGGATCGGTATAAAAGGAGCGACTGGGCAGTACTCAAGAGACCGTCAAAGAGAATACAGGAGGATGGGAGGAGCTGACAGATAGAAGCCTAGAGATATTACGCACTATGAAAAAATTAGGAAGCTGAAAAATCATTATAACAAGTCCTCAAGAGGATGCTGAGAAGGAGCCAATACCAAAGCACAATGAAAGAAAAATAAAAGCAAGCCGTAAACCTGCAGGGATTGTGGGATACCAGCTCGAGTGCGCTAAAATCTGAAAATACACAACCGGAAAAAATCTGCCACTTCCTTACAGAGCCCCTCCTCCAACACACACGAACATGTGTAACTAATGTCCTGCAGGTCACCCTTGAAAAAGATATCTTTTGATCTCAAGGGGCTTTCACCTGGTTAAATAAAGGCTACAAATAAACAAACATGACCAATGAGGGCACGAGATAACTTTGTGCACTGATGGAAGGCTGACAGGCAGGTAAGGCCATCCAGTTATTTTAGCCAGGCCGGCTCAGATGATTGGTCGTGCTTTTTACAGTACTGCGGCTTCCACACATTTTTGTATGTATTTATTGTCAAAGCATTTAAAATATTCATTGCTATCGGGATGTTAAGAGCATTCCATGGAATATAACAAAAAGTGTTTCTGAAATAAATGACACCACCTTTAAGGTTGTATTGACTGATGACAACTCTCCTCATTCCTGTGGGTAATTATATCTTCTAAACCTGAACTTCTGACTCAGCTAGTCAACTTTCTATAACCCAATTTGACTTCTCACCAACCTTAAATCTTAATATTTAAAACCGTATAAGAAAGCAAGATCATGTATTTAGGGTGGAATTTTAAAGACTGTATTTTAAAGCTAGAAACAAAAAAAGAAAACTGCTAATTCAGCTGTTGTTGCGCTATAGCTCAGAGGACCTGCAGGCCTCAAGCGTGTTTGCGCAGTGGCACGGGCTAATTGGGTTTCCGTTCTTAATTAGGCCAATTAATTAGGATATGAAGCCAAGGCCATGAGTGTTTCATCGGGTCATTTAGGGATTACAGGGAAAGAAGTCGAGTCGTGGGAAGAGTAGAGCAAAGAAATCGAGCAAAAAGGTCACAAGAGACTTTTTTTTGCGAGGATACCTTAGCGATAGATGGCTGCACCATTCTGCTGAATGTTATCTGTAAATGATTCATTGACTGAGAGTAATTACCCATTCAACTAAACCAAATCAACCACTGCATTTGAGAGTCAGAGATTTGGAAACAGAGCCTGCTCATTCATGCAATTTCCCAACTGAGACTCATTGTTGTTAATCTGCCATGAGAAACATGTGAAGTAAGATGTGAGAAGAACTAGAAGAGGAGAAGAACAAGAGGAAGATTCACAGCCAGAAGACTTTCACGATTTTCTCGATGCAACTCCAAGTTCTTCATTTCTGCCCACTTTTCATGTACAACTTTCAGCATTTTGAAAACCTTGCCTTCTGTACAGAATCAGCCTATGAAAGTTAGGTCAACTGTGATACATTTTGCCTGTGAATGACTACAGCAAGAACAAACTATTTTCAATTGACTTTCAATGTTCAGGTCGGATCAGGTTCAAACAGTCAGACGTGGGTGAAGTCTGATGATCACAACAATTGATCACAGTACTGCATGGCATGCTGATCCCTTTAGATAAAAATGTGTCCATCACTCACCTCCACTAAGAGGAAGCAGGGCACGATGTAGGTGCTGGTCTTCAGCATGCTGTCATCAGGAAGGCTCCTCATCGCCCTCCTTTGAGCTGACAACTGACTGTCAATCATCTGTGGGGTCAAAGGTCATCACAAAGCTTGAGTTTGAATTGCTCTGTTTGAAAAAGCTGGATGCAGAGATACAGCGCAGTAAAAACACAAACTACTTCATTATTGGCAACATTTAAAAATGCAAATGTACAGTATGATCACACACAACACAGACATACGGATAGTCCTAATGATGTGGATAACAGTTTGTGAAGTTGTGTTTTTTGTGTTTTGTAAGGTTTATAATACAAATTCAGTGTTTATACTGTTAGAGAAGCCTGGGTAACATGGAGGCGTATAGTAGTAAGTAATACAGGAGAGCCATATATTCAAGCCTTTTTAGAAAATACAGTTTTAAGACAACTCATCCAGTCATCCCAAGTCAACCTGTACTGAAAGTTTGGCTGGGGGTAATAATAGCTTTGAATTATTAAAAGGTAAAAATACCTGACTGTCAGCTGGATTTAATCATGACTTGAGTCATTAAACATTTTTTACAAGCTCCAGAAGTGTAAATAATAGTCTCTCTGTATTCAGTGCTGGGCTTAAGAGTAAATCTAAGACGCTTGGAGGGTTTCATAGTTGGTTGAGTGGCAAGAGAAAACATTTCAATTTGTTGAACAATTCCTTTTTCACTGCAAAGTTGAGTTTCTCTCGGTTAGAAATGTTAAGCATTGTCTCAAAAATGCCAACAGCTTAAAAAGAAAACCACAGGTAAAATCTTATGCAAAAGATGTTGCTTGGCAGAATTTCAAGTGGAATTATAAAATACATTAGTGGTGCGCCTCTCAGTGATACAGGACACCAGTAAAGTACATGCAATTATATGTGATTCTAAACATTAAATACCGTGGGTTCAATAGCCTAAGATCTTCAATCCCAATGGACAATTTTCCCACACAAACTTACATACATTCTGCAAGGTGCATCAAAAATGCACACATACAGGTGCACACACACCAGTGTGGGTAGCCAATCAAGATAATTGGGGGTTGGATGAGGATGAAAGGAGGAGAAGTAGAGTGGAAACAGAGGAGCGATGATCAAAAACAAAAGCCTGACAGAAAGAGATAAGAGAGAGACAAAGTCATGTTGCCGACGTTCAAGACTCTTTAGAAGTGAACAGACGAGGATGGGGGAAAGACAGCAGACTCAGCACTGGGGGATAACAGGTAGAAGAAACAGCTTCAGTCCCCAAAGTGGGAATAGAAGGAGACAGGGGAAGAGTTGAGGTGAGGATAGTTAGAGCAAAAAAGCATAAAAGATGCTCAGGGTTTCTGACATGCAAATGACTGGACTGTTGATGAATAATGTCAGCTTCTACTTTGATAAGTTCACGGGAGTCTCAAAAGGATTCCAAGTACATCCTCTTGGAATCAAACAGCTAATGCAGTATTTCTAAGAACTTTGAAATCATCATTTTATCAATCGTAAAGCAACTGCCCCTCAGCAGTCTTCAACATCATTGTATTCATTCAAACACCAATTAGTTCTCTTCTTCAGATATCGAGCTTATTCCCTCATCTCCTTGACAACAATTATCTTTCTGACTTTATAGCTGAGAGCAAATCTCGAAAGCAGTATGTCCGCCCTTTCCTCAATCAATGGTCGTGAGAGGGGAGGAAGCCACTGCTCCAGGTTGGAATGCGTCCATGTCTTGATCATTGATATAGTAACATTTGTATAAGTGTAACAAGGAAAGGAACCAACATCCGGCAATGAATCTTATTCTTCAAAGCCTTTTTCAAAAGTCAAACATAAAAGACTAGGGCAAAGCTGAATAAATCTTTCCTGTCCACACAATTACAAAATATATATCAGCGTTATTTGCCATATATATACAACATGTATTTATCTTCTTTCATCTATATTTATTCATGGGGGAATTTCTCTCTTTTTCAATAACGCCTTGTTACATTCACAAATGTACACATTCACACCTGAAAGCTGTGCGTTAGTGTGATCTGCCACTGAGCAGCTGCACTGGAGCAGTCTGGGTAAAAGGTTTTGCTCAATGGCACCTCAGTAGTGGTATTGAAAGAGGGGTACGCTCATTAGAATGCAATTAAATATTGCTGCAACACGTTTTAAGGAGCATTACAGTGTATACATTATTAACTCAAGCATTAAAGATGTAATACTTCCTAACCCAATTCACTTCGATCTTTTCTCATTTGAAACGGTATAATCTGACAGAGAAATTGAACATTCCTTCGAAGATTACTAAACTTCAAGCATCACGCTGAGAATCAAAGATTTTTCAAAATGAGACATCCTTTAAAGGAGTCTATACACATTGTGAAGTAAGTCACACACCACAAATGCACCTATCTGCAGGAACTGATTAGTAGTCCCTTTAATTTCAACATGTAGTATTTTGGAGGATTATATGATCATCATTTCGTTTAAATCACCTCAGGTGCTGTTACACTCAAAACGTATACTTTAATCTCCCTTACTCTAATGTGTCAAAGATTTCCCTGTTGGCATTTTCGTTCCGCATCATAGATTAATCATCATTTATTTATAGCTTCACATGAGACGTGTTTATTGCAGAAAATGTTCAACGTTTCTGAACATCGTAAATCTTGCTTCAAATTATATTTGTATTTTTTCCAAAAGAAAATATTTGTGCAATGTTTGGCTTAGTGACATACACACATATAAAGCAGTACAGATTACACTGACTGTGGTTGTGTGTTAATTATTCATATACATTTTTTCCCTCTACTATCGCCTGTCTGCCTCATGGGAAACAATATTCCACTATTCCAATAAGTGAATGCTTCTGATGTAGAAGAGCTCAGCTACACAAAGACCTTCTATTTGTTTTCATTTTTCATTTAATCGTTTATTTGAACCGGGACAGTGCACATTAATGAACATTTTAAATGATGCTTTTAAATGTAAATGAGCCGGATTTTAGCTTTGAGCTAATTTCCATCCGTAGTCCCGTCACATACAACATTTATGAACATAACATTTATATACATGGCAAACAGAAATACATGATATGCAGAAAGAGCATGAGCAGCATACAGCCACAAGGCAGTACAAATGTAGCAGCTATGATATATCAATCAATCAATCAATGTTTATTTATATAGCCCAATATCACAAATGTTACATTTGTCTCAGTGGTCTTCACAGTGTGTACAGAATATCAGTAATATATAAAGTGCAGGAGGAGATAAAAGAGAACAGGTTGTACAAGTTGTGGCAGAGGATAAAGGGATTGCATGTTGACACACACACACACACACACACACACACCAACACCACACACACCACACACACACACACAAACACACACACAACACACACACCACACACACACACACCACACACACACACACACACACACACACACACACACACCACACACACACACACACACACACCACACACACACACCCACACACACACACACACACACAAAGGGGGTTGTATCCCTTTATGTACCCAGCTTCTAAACCAGCAAAAAGCAATCAGGCATGAGGTTGGCATGACTGATCGTCTCTTGTGTTGCTGTCCATGTTATTCACTAGGTTTTGCATCCTTAAGCTCCACACTGGCACCACGGCAACAAAAGACCCACTCACTATCTCACACACACACACACACACACACACACACACACACACACACACACACACACACACACACCACACACACCACACACACACACACACACACACACACACACACAACACACACACACACACACACACACACCACACACACCACACACACACACCACACACACACACACACACACACACACACTCACACACACACACACACACACAGGTGCATACAGACACACACTTACAGAGACTGAAATCCACAAACCTTTTGCACAGGTTCATTCATACAAACAAGTCCGTGCACAACTGACTGTTGTTTAAGTATTCATTACATGAGAATATGGATGTCAGTCCAACAAGTGGTAATGCACAGCTGATCCCTGTGTGTGTGTGTGTGTGTGTGTGTGTGTGTGTGTGTGTGTGTGTGTGTGTGTGTGTGTGTGTATGTGTGTGTGTGTGTGAGAGAGAAATATCCCCGCAGATAATTCCTCCTGTAACTGCACCTGAGGTTTTACAATGTCTGTGGTATAAGATGCACAATCCCACTCACACATTGTCTCTTTTTACATACACAGTCATTAATCTTCAAGAAAAACCCATATCCAAAATGAATGAGGACATGAAACAAGCATTTACAGGTTTGAAAAACTCTCACCTTAAATCTTTGTGTATTGTAAGCGGTGCTTCTGCTTGTATGACCAATGCTCCTCCAAGTCTGTGTCTCTAGGAGGATTTGCTCCTGCAGCGGACTCCCATTCTGTAGTTGCGTTGTGGTCTCGGTTCCGCTTCTTTCTCTTTTCCCCTTTTCGTCTCTTTGAAAGCAAAACCAGCCCCTCGCTTCCGTCGCTCGCCACTGAGTGAGAATAGAGAGAGAGAGGAGATAGAGAGCTTGTCCACTGCCAGGCACCTAGCCTCTAGCCAGCCTACACTATATCTGTCTGCACTATGCCGCTAAGCTAAATATGATGATCTTCAACAGCACTTCAAGGCTAATAAGTCAAGTGAAGGGACCCACAGGCATGGTGAGCGAGCATTTCAGCGCAGTTGCCGGTGGATGTTAGGAGAGAAGTGAGAGAGAGAGAGAGCGTGTGTGTGAGAAAGAGAAAGAGAGGCAAATGAGAGGAGGAGAGTGGGAAGAGGGAATAATAAAATGAGACAGCTGGAGAGGAGACAGAAGCAGAAAAGAGGCAGCATGTGTGTGTGTGTGTGTGTGTGTGTGTGTGTGTGTGTGTGTGTGTGTGTGTGTGTGTGTGTGTGTGTGTGTGTGTGTGTGTTGTGTGTGTGTGAGTGTGTGTGTGTGTGTGTGTGTGTGAGAGAGAGAGAGATGCTGAGGGAGAGAGGGTGTAGAGAGAGGGGGAGGTAGTAATGGAGAAAAATAAGGGGGGGTAGTTAAGTGTGAGTCTGAGACACAGAGGCGAAACACTGTGAACCTTAAAACCCCAGCAAAGCAATTCGACACTGTTTGAGTGCACATATGGACATTCAGAAAAGGGTATGAAAAAAGGCATGAGTAATCTGAAAAGTGTCATCGTTTGTGTTTCTGTGTGAATAATCAAGAATATGACAATGTGAGCTCAGGTGAGCTCTGAGCATTATCCAGCTCAGCCCTACGGACAGTAGACAGCGGGTTACTGATGCATCGTCGAGTGGAAAAAGTGGGACGCATCCTGCACACGGCCCTAAGTGGGGTCAGAGGCTCTCAGGTGCAATGCTCACCAGCTGCTTTTGGCAGTTTTAAACAAAAAAAACAGTGTGCGTTTTGCATATGCAAAGGCACTGGAAATGTATTTCAGGCATTGCCACATAGGTGTGTACTGAGAGTGGACCTTTTCATTCCGAGCACCTCTCGTCTTCCATTTCAGATCCGCGAAGCTAATTGAGTTGACTCCTTTAAAAGCAAACTCAAAACCCATCTCTTCGCATCCGTCTCCCTTGTCAACTGATTTCCATCACCTAGTTTCCATCTACATTAGCATCACTTCAGTCACATGCTTTTATCACATGGCAATACTTATGTTGTTGTATGATGTTGTATAATGTTTTTACAATTGCTATGCTATGATATTTGTATTTTGTTTTTGTCTTTGCTTTTGATTGCTTTGTACAGCCCTTTGAGGCATTTGGGGCAAGAATACATTTTGATTTGATTTGACTTTTTATATATAATAAGGTGATTTTCCATCAAGCTGTTATTCATAGTTTTTCAGTTTCTTTGTTCCCCATCTTTAAGTCTTCTTGCGCTCTCTTTATCTGAAGTTATACTGTATGTGTGCCGCTGACAGTAGAGTTAGCGCCAGATTCAATAAACTAACTCCCAATATTAGGAGTATTAGATGTAATGGCGCATGAATTAACATTTTCTTTGTATAATTTTCTAGAAATGTGATTAAAATGTGGGCCAAATGTGGATGGAAACCTGGCTATAGTCTTTCAAGGTTGGAATATTGAGTTGGTTAGCCTTTAATATGGCTTAAGGTTAAGAAATAGTTTTTAAATTTTGGGAAAAACACTTATTCACTTATGAAATGGTAAACTTTTTCTTTAACACTTAAGGAAAGTAAAAATGGTCTGCTCTCATATTTAATCTAAAAACTGTATATCAATTAGGGTTGTAAACAGGTGGCCAAGGACAAGCTCTGGCATCCCTTCTGCCAATATACATTTCCCGGTATATCTCCATTTCTTACAAAATACTGTTAAACTGTAAGAGCAAGGACACAGTGTTACACCCCCGCCCTTCCCCCTGCTGCACTCAAACAAATCATTCACAGGAGAGGGCACAACACTCACAGAAAAGGGTATTTTTTTCCCCTGATTCATTGATGGTTATAATCACGGATAGTTCCCATGACAACCCACTGCATTCATACAGTATAATAACAAGTGAGGAAATGTGGATTTGCAGAAACACACACATACTAACCCATTTGAGTGCACATACAATGAAGAAGAAGTAAATAATTCTATCTAAAAAAAAACACAAAGGTTATTAATTAATTAATCATGTCAACCAAGTTAGTCATTATTTTTACTGCCACTCGAATAAATATAGAAGTTCACTAAAGCCATCTCCAATTGTAACTAGTAAGGCAGTGTTTCCCATACATTGATTTATTTGTGGCGGGCCGCCACAAATAAATATCGTCCCTCACAAATGGAATCAAATTCTGTGGGAAACACTGTAAGGTATACCAAGAGTTGACACTTTGCACTGATACAGTTTTTCTGTCACAATATCACATGGTTGCTGCAAAGACATAGAAACAACTGCATTGCATTTCAGTAACTATCATATTATCGGCCTTTCACAGCCTCCCAAGGGACATCTTTATTTTCTGCTCCATCACTTTAACTCACACTCTGTAGGTGTGTGGCATCTCTTTCATGACGGTTAATACCTTCAGATGCGGCTGTCTGGTCTTATTGATTGATGTATGTGATCATTTATCATCAGACGTTTGAGAGTGTAAAGAGAGAGTTGTCAAAGTCAAGGGCAAAATGGGGAAGGTAACACTAAATAGAGCAAGTACAGAGGTGGCCATGAATAGCCTGCAAATAAGTAGACTAGACACACATCAGTGCATCCATGCATTGCACACACAAACACATGCAGTATCTGTGTCTTGTCTTGACTTTCTTTTCTTTAACCTTCCTTTCAACCTAGTTTCCCTATACCCAATGCATTGTGCCCTATTGTGATGTAAGGAATTCAAAGGGGTGGAGGTTGGGCTTGTGGATTGGCATATAGCATCCTTGACTTTCACCATCTTCCCCTAACAACAAATTATTAAATATGCTGCCCCTTCTGCTCGGAATAATATACAGAAGGAGCTGACACTGTCAAATGTAATCACTATGGGGGAATTCAAGTCCATCTTAAAGGACAGAGAACAAGAATCCATTGGTCGATGTGATTGCATAATTGAAGTCGTTTTCAATTGTGCCAGTTTTTAATGATTTATAATAGTTTCTTTATTTGCATATTGACTGGTTAATGTGCCATTTCATTTGTGTTTTACGGCCGCTGTATTTGTCTGCCTGTATTGTCTGTGTTTGATCTATTGTAACTTTGTTCATGCTGCCCTTCTTGGCCAGGTCGCTCTTGAAAAAGAGATTTTAATCACAATGAGACTTATACCTGGTTAAATAAAGGATATATAAAGCGTTTTTGTTGCCAAACCCTCACCTAACCTGCCTATAACTAATATTTTCATATAAAATAGGATCAGGTAACTGGAAGTTTGTGCAGGGATGAAAGACTGAGAGAGAATTGTTACGAGTTGGTGTGTCTTTCAGCTCTTCGTTTTTATTCTCATGGCTAAAACTTTACAGATGTGTCTCACACCACTAACTGCAGCTGTTTTTAACAAAAACATTGAAAAATACTACTGTAGGCTACCTGCACGTCCTCCTTACAGCAGAGATACAATATATAGCAGGTGAACAGTAGATCCCTGCATATAAACAGATTCACCCTTCACTTAAAATCTGATGTGACATTTTCCATTGACACCAAAAGGCCTGAAAATTAGTCAATGTTTGTCTTAGTTAACTAACCCAACCCACAACCATGTCTTTTAAGTAAATGATAATATGATCTCTAATCTAAAAGATACCATAGTTGCCATACACGGGTATGTGAAATCAATGTCAAATACTGACATATTTCACTGGTCATAGGGTGGCAGACCTACTTAACCTAGAGTCCCTATTTACACAACCACATACAAATAAGCCACAATAAGTAGGCTATGTTAAAACAAACTGGCATCCAGCTGTCAGAGGTTCTATGACATTTTGACTCACAAAATGTAGGTAACACATGAAACCTCACATTATAAACTAATGATGTCGCGCCCTTTTTTACACTTGATTTGTATGAACAAAAAACACAAACACAAACAAACGGTGCTCTTTCTACAGTATGCTACAAAAGAACATGCAAGCACACACACAAGGGAACAAAGAGCACTGTATAGAAGGTGCTGGTACACTTTGCTGGTACACAACACACAGACCACAAAAGCACATGCATGCAGTATTGTAAGCAAAGGTTGCTATACTGAAAAATACCTCAACAAAACACAAGCACACACAAAATACAGAGAGACTGAGTGGCCAATCCATAGTGTTATGGAGGAGCTGTGTGATAAGAGCCAGTGTGTGTTTAAATGTAAGGACTCTCTTGTCTTGGGAAATCAGAAGTAGGCCGAGTCAGTGGATGTGCTCATTTCATACACTATCAGTGTGGATCACAGCCAAGGACATTATCGTTTCAAATTGCCATGCTGGGGAATTTCAGCCATAAAGAATTAATCAGATATTTAGCAAAATGGGATTATAAAAGAAGATACAGTACAGGTCAGCAGTGCTGTAATTCATGTGTCTGAAACCCTGACCATCTCTAAAGACGTTGTAACTATAGTACTTCAGGGGTTCATACACCAGATTTGGGCGAATTAAAAAAGCAATTAATCGTGATAAAATGAGCCTGAATTATATTGTAGTATAAATTATACACACGAGTAAGTCATAATGAAATATACATAAAAATAGCTTGGCCTAGTTGTATTTCATGAAGCTCTCAAGTATTGTAATAGTGCCTTTGGTCTGTCCTTTGAGTCCCTAATAAAAAACGTTTATCTTTCCCACACCAGGGTTAACACATGTATTTGATGTCATGATGTAATACATGAGGACACTTTTTTTTGGTGTGAATAGTATGAAGGCAAACTTGGCCCAGTATGGTTAAGTTACATACTTAATTGTTCTCTCAATTCATTACTTTTCAATAAATATCCAACCGATCTGTCCTTGTCAAATACATAATACACAAGGAACAAAGCAACGCAAACTGAACCAAACAGCTATTGAAATCCTGCATACCCAGAGAGATGGGTAGTGTATATAAGTCTGCCTGAAAAACACCAGAAAAACCTACCTTATTAATATGGCCCGATTCTACCCAGCGTCTGGAAAAGTGTCAGCAAAATGTTTGGACCTCGCTCCTGATTTACGTCAGCAGCCAACCTGAATTAGGAATGGATTCCCACAGTCAACCTGTATCACAAAAGAGAACAAAAAGATTATGAAAAACAGTCGCTCTTTATACCCTATGTCAACAACTTTCAAATGAGGTTTTGACTAAATAAATAACAATTGTTATTCTACATTCTCAGACTTAAACTTTTGCATGAAGCTGCACTTTAAAAGCTATTTGAATATGTCAATAGTGCTTAGCAATCAAAAATGCTGTTTGAATAAAAAGCAGCATCAATATTGAATAACTGAGTCATCTTGTGGGCTATGGCTTCCTTCCTTTAGGGGAGTAGAATACTTGTTTGACAGTTTGAGTTGTTTTAGATGGTTAGGTTAAGCAAAGTGCATCCACTCAAATGTACAAACAGCTTGGTTATTAAAGAAAAAGGAAAGGATCAGATTGGTATTCCTATTGGTAGACTAGATACTCAAGGCTGCAATATTGAAAAGGATAAAGATCATCAAGCGTTATATTTTGCTGAAACCACAGCGCAATATACACCGATTCTACTGTTGATTGGTGTCAGTGCCAGAAACACTTTTTAGGAGCAATGCGCTCATGGAATAGATGTAATTGGGTTGTGTGTACGGTGGAAGCAGGGAGAGGCATATACGTGCCTTGATCCCTGCCGAGTCGACGCACAACTGTTGATTGGTGTCAGTGCCAAAAAAACGTTTTGGTATAGATGTGGCGCATATATCGTAATGCCTACTCTTTTCTCTCACCCTATCCTAAGGGAGTGCATGTACGTAGACACGTTAGTTTTGCTGCTATAGGCTTACAGCAACTAATAACATGGTATCCAGTATAAAGCTTTAGTGGCATCTTAAGATAAGGCTATTAAATGAAACAAATGTACTGTAAACTAGAAGGGCTTCATTTGTACTTATTTTGTATGTGTTTGAATTATGTCCAGGATTAACATCTAAACCAAAGAGAGCTGTTAGAAAAGTAAGGCCATTATTTTGATGTGAAAGTGCAGGATATGGAAACATTCAGTTGAACTGAGAGGGATTTTACACTTTAAGGCACAGCTTTCATTCACAGAGACGTTTTACATTAAATGCAATAGTTTTGTTCATTCATGAGATACAATTAGATAGGTTCCCATGCAAATATTACCTATTTTGCTCAGATGCCTCACTTCATCACAATCACTTCTGATACCATGGAAGGGCCTTGAGCACCTGCAAGAATCAGACCACATGGTGAGGCTGATGACGTTAAATGATTTTAATGGTTTAGCTTTGCAATCAAAATTATTCTGACTGTGATGTCTATCAATACAATCACCTTGTAAAACTTTATTCAAATGTGAAAATACACACATGAGACAATGATAGTAGGCTAGACACTCAAAAGGCATGCTAACGTCAACTGAGTTTGATATTTGTTTTACAGATTTACGCTTGAAGGAGTAAACATCGCATTGACTTCTAACTTTCTCCCTACACCATTTGTTCAAACACCACATGGCGTGTTATATTGGTCGCTAAATAAGCATCTTAACCTGTTACTTTCGAAGCTGTGAAAGCTGTGTATCTGCTCTGCAGTTATTCAGAACAACAGGAAACATGAGGCTGCTGCTGCTGTGTGGAGGGCTGGCCTCTCGGTAATGACTGGAGTCAGGTAACCCCCGGACAGACCGACTCTATCCCTCCTCACAGACGGGTTCAGACACGAAGAGAGGCGGTGTGAGAGCAGCTTCACGACACGGTTTCAGTTCGTGTTGTATCAATGCCTGGACCTACTACCTAAAACAAACTTTTTTAGACCTGTTAAAGTTTGACAAACGTAACCACGCGTCGTCCGATGTTCATGTTGACGAGCGAACCATAGGAAGGCAGCGCTGAGCGGGGGCTACTCAGGTGTTCAACTGTTCCGGAGAGTTTGTGTCGTATTTTAGCTTTGGGGCTAACTAAAAACTAATTACGCTGGAAGAAAGACTACTCTCTTTCCTGTTTTCGCTTTTGGTCCTGTGTCCACTTCTCTCGTGTTCCTCCTTCAGTCGATTGGATCTATAAAGCAAGTGGCCAAGTTTGAACAGGTAAGTTTATTTTTGGACAACATTTTCCCGCATGCATTTTAACACGTTTAGTGTACGTGGTTGGTCGGGGTTGACACTTTGTGAAACTGAGCCAAGAGGTGTAAGTGAGTCCAGCTACAGTGGACAGACAAGGCAGCTGTTGACATGTCTGACCAAAACATTTCAAACCAAAGAGTCATAGTCTACTATGATTAAAACCCTTTGAAATATAATGTAGCTGTTCAAAAGTTAAACGTGATGTTTTCTGTCCCTCTTTGGCTTCTTGAATCCTGATCCAACCTATTAAAAAGCACTTGTAAACAGATAAGACTTTCATTTTTGCACAGTTGTGACTTTACAGTGAAAGTCTTAAATGGAGCTTTCATCTAAAAAGGTATCCTATGGCGTGTGTGCAGTATCATGTGTAGGCCTATCTTGTTTTCTTTCAGTGTTGAATTATAGCTGTATCTCTTTACTGCACTTTATTTGTCAGTTTTACGAGTAATTAAGTACAAAAGCTTCACGTTTGCAAGGCATTTACAACAGTTTTATGATGCAGTTGTTGAGATAGTGGTGTTATCTTTTGACACTTTCTTAGCTGCTGTTGTACACACACATGAAAATACACACTAACCACACATACAACAATAAGCACACTACAGTTAAAATCTCAATTTGTGTATATCAGATAAACCACACAATTATGTTAGGACTTTCATATGTTTGACTCGCCTATTTTACGCCAACTGAGTCCTGCTGTTTCATCACTTTTAACCACATATATCCTTGATCTGTGCTAAACTCTAGCTTTATTTAAAGTAAAAAGCCAATTTCTGCCTCATAAGCCATCAAACAAACCCTGCTTAGCATGCAGCTGAGCACAATGATTAACAAGCAGAGATCCCAGCAGGAGCTCCTGACACTGCCTTCCTTCTGTCAGGCTGGAGAACTGAGGGACTTGAGGCCATATCCGGGGGGTGTTGCTCACCTCTGGCTTAATTTGACTCTCAGGAAAATGTTCTCCAGGGTTTGTTAACAAGCATAGGCTACATATGTCGGAGGTTTCAAAGAGAAGTTGCACATAAAGGATCCCTGCACAGGATACATGAGGATATAAATGTCACAGAAGCAAGCAAATAACAGATCAGCAATGCTGTTTTATGAGGCAGTTAATAGGTAGATCACTTTTGAAATAGACTTCAGCTGGTGTCCACCTCAGACACAGCCTCCTGATCTTTAGCTGTGTGTATAACATTTATTAAAAGCCATTCTGTATAGTTGCTGTAAATGATAAGTGGTCTGGTCAGTGACTTTGCACTCAGCTTGACGTCCACATGTTGCTGGTTTTGTCATTCTGTTGTAGTGGCATGATATTTAACTCTGTCATGCTGCTGTCACATTTTCAGCTGTTTGACTCTATTGAGGGTTGTGCTGACTGTTCATGTCTGGCATTCTTTTACGCTGACAGTTTTTAGTCTGACTCATAAAGCTCACTGCTGTCTTTTGTGATCGGTCAAACAGATCTTTCTACTACAGTCTTTCAACGTTGATGTTTTCAACATTATTTGTAACATGTATCACATTTTTGAATTTAGTTTTTGGATGTGCTATTGAAGTATTTATGACATTTGGGCTATTATAGCCTTTAGAGCACAAGCAATGTTAGCTTATTGCAGGTATATTGCATCAGCTTACATTTTTATACCAGCATATACAGTAGATGACAATAAATGTAAATAAGGAATTGGCAGAGATATGTTTTGTACAACGAGGATTAATAGCATTTATGTTAAATACTTGCATTGGTAAATAACATTTTACATCACACAACAGTAAATATCTTTTTTGGAAACTGTAAACACTTTTTTGAGGGAATTTTGTTATTGTTGTTTGTTTATGTTAGGGTTTGTGTAAGCAAAACTAAAACTCCGGATATGTTATTATACGATTTTTTTGTTGAAATTCTCAAATATCGGTAGTGTCATCAAATAGTTTTTAATCATTATCATCCAAAATCATCAAATATTGGTAGGGTTATAATCAATATGCTGTCATGAATGCAGTGTGACCCAGGTCTTGTTTAGGTCATACCTCTCTTGTACAAAACATCAAATAAGATTTTCCACCCTCACTTTATCTCCTTCTAATCTGCTGTTCTGTTTATTGCTCTGCAGCTGAAATGTTTTTCTTCTCTGATGCATGCAATAAATGGCATAGAACCAGGGTCGATAAGCCATTTACTTGTGAAGCAGTTTTATTTTGAATCTGCAGAAATCTACTCAAATGTACAAAGTGGAAGTGAGACGGCTAGAGTGGGCGAGGTCGCTGTTAAAGACAGATAAAGGGGCAAAATAAACTGTGGTCGTAAGCATCACCAATCAGCAGAGTTTTATCTTTTCAAATCGTGTTGGAGAGAGGGAGGGAGATTAAAAATCGGCAAGATAAAGGAGAGGGGAGACAAAGGAGTAGCCGGGAGAGATGAAATCCACCACTTCTTTGCTTGGAAAACTGGATGATAGATGGATTTTCAGGAGGAGGGAAATTCCTCACTGCCACATTGCCTCCAGCATGTATCTCTCTGTCTGTCTGTTCATCCTCTGCTGCAGTCATATCAGATCTTCACATCTCTTTCCCTCTTAGTGTAGCATTGGCATATGAAACAAACTTCACTGTGACTGTTGCTAAATATCCATGTTCCAAATAGGCTATTTACAAGTGTAGAGAACCCTAGCCCGATTAATGTCGCCCCATGAACTACAGAGAGATCACAGACCTTGTTGCCACTGCTCATAATGTCTGTGACTGTGCTTTAGGCTGTTATTATTATGGCTTTACAGAGGATTAGACTTAGACAGGTGAAGCAGAGATGGTTCACCTGGAAACAAGATAGCCCCACAGTATGCAATTTTCTTCTGCTGGTTGAGCAATGGAAGTGATACATAATTGTTAGTTCTCAGGGGAGCTACATTGGCACATAATGCTGAGAAAACCCCAATGTTCATGGTTGATGGTTAAACGTACATTATGTAGTATTCCTTTTGTGAAAGCAGCTAAATGTGGAGTAATCTGTTTTGCTTAATTCAACTATGACTTTGCTCTGGTTTATGTTACTAAGTTATGTTTACATTTTAAAGGACTACTCCATCAATTTAGTGTTTCAAATGTGCCAGAGGTTAGGATATCTTTGCAGATATATTTTTGATCACTAAGATATCACCAGTGTTACTTTAACAGACTTTAGACAGCTTATGTATCTAATGCATACTCAGAAGGATTAGTGAACTGATATTCATGGGTACATTTGGTGAAAGTTGGTTAAAAAAACGTGTGTTAATTTTTTTACAGTATTTAGAAATGGCTCTCCAGTGAGCTCATCTGACCAACAGTGTCAGTGCTAACATACCAGAAATACCAGCCACGCCCTCACATTAGAGTGTGAACTACAGTCGTCCTTTTGTCAGTCTTCTTTCTTTTGTGTTTTTGTGTCTTGTTTAGGCTCGGGAGGCGTTTTTTTAAATGGCGCTCTTTAAATCATTCTGCTTGTGTGTCTGTGTGTGGGATTCCTTTCATTTGCAATAATGTGTTGACTCCAAGCTTCAGACATGCTGGCTGACAGTGAGGGAAGGGGGACGACAGAAAACATTTACTAATCTTTGGTTTACTCTGTCTGTGGTACACATGCCCTTTTTTTGAACTGGCATCAATGTATTAAACAAGCAAACAAGGGTTAGACAGTTAGTTCATATGTTATGTTTGAAACTGATCTGGAGAGATAGTTTCGAGAAAGACCTGAGCATTGTCCAATAGGACATTTAAGCCTCTTTGCTTTCCACATTAGTACTGTAGGTTGTTGAAACGTATTCAAATAGAAATACAGGTCATTAAAAAGCAATACAATTCTAAAGCACCAAAATGATCATACAGTTAAATCAACACTCTAGATCAGAGGTTAAAACATTGTCAACAAAAAATGAACATTACAACCTCTATGGTTTATTACAGGATGGTTTTTATTAGACCTTATTAGTTTTTCTATAGGTTCACATGAAGAACTAACAACAGGGCGCAGACCTCTGCCAAGGATGTTTCCGTAAGTGGAAAATAATGAGTGTATTGGCCCATGCTAAACCCCCCCTTATGTTTCAAACAAACAAGCAAACCAAACCAGAAATATAACCTCCTTAACAGGGGTAGAAATGCTACCTCAAGACGCCAGTAACAAATACACACAGCTGTGGTTACTAGGTTACATTGTCTGGTTAGCCAATGCAGTCAACACTCACCTGAATGATGCTTGTTTACTGAAATGTGGGTATATATTTTAAATGCTGGCAAAACATGAGAGCAAATTAGACTTGGTATTATGCATTAGCTTATGCACCATATTGATAAAACACATCAAATTAATGGATAGCAGTAGGACCACATTTTTATTGTCAATATGTGTGTTTATTTCTTTAGTGAGAGAAAGTACTAGACAGAAGTGCCGATGCAAATAAGCAATGCCAGAAAGCTGTCTAATGTTATACTGCCTTCCAAATCTGTAGCTATTGTTTGTTGTTGTTGTTGTTGTTGTTGTCAGGTCATTCAATTGTAAAAGTGTCATCATTTCCAACTCACAATTAAAGGCAAGAAGCTCCCCTGTCTGGTAGCTCAAAATGCCAGCGACAGATCCACATCCCACACTGAAGTGAACGGATTTGCCAAGCTGATTTGAT